AAAAGTTTTTGTTATATCTGATTCAGTATTCCGATGATTAACTATCTGTTTTTACGTTTGCTGTGTCTAACTACACGTGGAGTACACATTTCATTATCTAAACACTTCTGTAATTAATTAAAGTAAAATTGATTGAATGAGATTATGGCATACAATTTTCTTAGTCAACATTGGGCCACTGTATAGTGAGTAGATAATTGCTCTTTAATATGTCCCCCAAAGGGGACTGTAATTAATCTGTTCAGCTGCTCCAGATAACAGCAGACTCCAGCAGACAAAAAAATTAGTCATAGCCTTGTAGATAATAGACTGAGGTTCTTTGGAAAAACCCAAACATCTTTTCCAGATAAGTGTTATTGCTGATGATAAAGAAAGAGGAGGCTGGCTAGTCACATGTAGAGTCACATGTACAATCACTTCAATCATTAAAAGTCAAAAAAACACAACATTGCTGACAATATTAGGTCTCTTTTTGGGTCTGGCTATTATTTAAAATTTGCTTTTATCAAGTATTTACAGCACGCAGCGCATTTCCAGTACTACGAGTATTTACAATAGTTGACGTGTGACATTTTGCGCGGGAAAACACGAAAATGACAGTTGACGGATGATGGGTGATAGGTGATGGGTGATGGGTGATGGGTGATAGGTGATGGTGGGCCAGATACGAGTAGGACCACTCAGCGAAAACAGTTGATTGCTTATTGTTATCGTCATAGATAGAGGCTGGTTGGGTGGCGTTTTGATGGGTTGGGTATTTTTAGCATCGCAATTGTCAATGCCAGGGTCTCTTGACTATTTATTTGCCGTGAGTTGTTTGTTTAAACTAATTGAAAAGATGCACAGACGATAAGTGTGTGTTAAACAAATATATTTAATTTGGCCGACATTTTTGATTATTTTAATTTGTTCAGCTGTAGAGATATTTCTGTTTTTATTTCGGTTCGTAAATAATTCAGAAAGCAATTTACCGTTTGTTGGCACAAACAGAAAGCAATCAAAATGTGCAATCAAGTGCAATTGAGATTTGTGCTTTTTGGACTGCCTGCCCCCCCAAAGGCAATTACTACAAATAACTTGATCAATATTTGCCAGCCTCAAGTGTAACTAAATACACAAATATGCAGTGCATTCTGCAAATATTAGCACTAAACAATATTCATTCAATTTGCTGCACAGTTAATCGTTGGTAATATTGCCAACAATTAGGTGGCAAACAAACTAAAGCTGCAGGAACGGCTCCTCCTCCTCCTCCAATCATCGAGTGGGTCTAAAGAGGCAGCGCCCCAACGGTTGGCAGCCACCGCCATCCGCTGGAATTTAATTAACGGGTCTACGAGCACAAAATTAGCATAAATCATTTAATTAAAGGTAAGTGCTGACGAGTGGCAATGCAAAGCGGAGCGGAGCCAGGGCGTACAATCTTTTCTGAGATTCTCCTCCAGGGTGAGGGTGTGAAAAGTGGAGACCGTTGCCTCCGCCGTTGTGTCTGTTGTTCTGAAGCGCTAACCGAATCATGTGTTAATTTTTTAATCACATTTGATAAATATTTCAAGCTGGGCTCGTGGCACTCTGATGGCTGTTGGGCGGGGTTGCGTTCTCATCTTTACACTGAGAAAAAGAAACGTTATTAAACCAAGAATATATTTCCGCGCTTCTGAACAAGTCCTTACAGATGTGATATGACTTATTTCTATAAACGATTCCCTTTCCACATTTATTTTACGCAGCCCCAAAGAACCAACCCGGAAAACCACTCCCATCAATGATAAGATAAATTCATTCAGTAAATTCACCGCTCTAACTATTTTTGAATTACAAGACATCCTGATTGTTAAGACAAAATTGTTTGTTATGCTCAATTTTAAGCATCAGACTTTGATTCATCAGCACCGCATGTAGTTACGGTACTCTACCTGCTAGAAACATTTTAAAATAATTTTATCAGACAATCATACTAATTGTCATTTTTGTGTAGATTAGTTTCTGCTTCCATGTTTAAGGAAAACATTTATATTCATAGGACTTCAGTTTTATTTGTATGTTCTTTGCCTTAACAATTTTTTGAAGGTTTTTCACTTTTCAGCTCAGCTGTAGTTTTCCTAAGATTATATTGTTGTTTTTACTTTAAAGAATATTATCTTGAGTATTCAGCTGTCTGACGTGCAGATGTATCTATGTGTGTAGCTTCGCCATGAACCCTTAATTATTAAACTTTTCAGCTAAGCAGATATTTGAGTTTGTTTATGTACTTTTATATTATTATGTATGCTATGGCTATTTCAAAAGATTAGATCTATCCAATCATCCCATTCTCATTCAAATCGATACAACTAGACTCATCTATTTTTCAAGTTATCAGCTTATGTTTTTCCCTCAGTGTAGTAGCATACTTTGAATTGAATCATTTACGTTTGGCATAGAGATTAGAGAAAGGCGTTTATATTAATAGCTTTGTTGGCTGCTGTTTTGTCATAATTAAATTGTTTAAATACCTACTACATTTAATTTAGCATAAAACGCTTTGTGCCAACACTGTCAATGAATATGAGTATGTGTGTGGAATGCAAATTAGCAGCATACTTCCCATTCTTGGCAGGGAAATCCTTTTCAAGCGCTATTAAGTGAACACACAAAACAATTGCTCTCGGAGAAATTTACGTGTTTTAAATGCTGCACAATGAGCACAACTCAGGCAAAAATAAACACAACAGCTGCAAAAATTTAACTAAAATGAACTATGGCGCTGTTGTTATCGTTATTATTGTAAATAAATAAAAGCCGCATCAAAACTATTGTAGTAAAAACGTTTTTATTCGCATTTTCACAATGAGCGCAATTGCAAATTGATTTGTGCGGTTCTCTGAAAGTTCTCCCCTCCACAAAAAAAACGGAAAGAATAAATAATAAACACAAAAAAAAAAAAAACACAACGAAAACAAAACAAAAATGCAGAGGAAAAACAAACTGAAGAAAAAACAACAAAAATATGTTGCTATGCATCGAATATTTTTGCAAAAGCTTATGAATTTTTGATAGCGATTTTCCTGCTGCTGAATAGTTAAGCCAGCAGTTTTCATCAGTGCACTGAGCACTGGGCAGGCACCAGAGTTGCTTAAATTAGCTCATATTTAATTCGGAATAAGCGCGAATTACTGTGCGCGAATCCAGTACTCAAATAAGTTAATATTTGCCACCCACAATAGCATGGCCCAAGCAAATATTAACACTGGCGGATTACATCAAAGGATTTTATACGCTCAATGCAATTTGCAGAATACTCGTATTATGCGGGGAAATTCGCTCAATATATGCTATAATTATAACCTATTTATGCTCGTTAATTATGAGTTATGCTATGGTGGAAAACATTTATTGCATGTTGCAACAATCATTTGTAAAAATGTTTAAATGTTACCTTTTTTTTGCTCAATTGCTCAAAGGCAATTTTTCTTTTTGATTTTATTCCCAGAAATTTAATAACTATAGAAATTCTTTCTGCTTTTATGGGTGTAAATCCAACCGATTCCTGTGCAGATGCTAATCACCATATGAAATCCGTAGAGTCAATAGAAAGATACGAGTGGGAAGTGGGGAGAAGGGATTATCTCCGAACTTGTTCTTTTAATTCTCTTGAAGCTTTCCTCCCGATTGATTTTTAATAAACTACCAAAGTCAGGGGAGACTTTTAAAGTCTGCTTTATGCTTTATGAATGCAAAAACTGTTTGGCTCAGCGTAAATTTCAATTAGTTGGCAATGCAAAGAGATGAAACTTTTTTCGCTTGTTTTTGGGCTTTTGTTTTTTGGGGCACGGTACCCAAGCCGGCAAACCTGTAACAGCATTCGCATAAATTTTGCATATTTATAGGCACATAAACTCCCTACACACACCCACGCATATCAGTATATGGACATACGTATACTTGTTGTATACTTGTTGAAAAAGGGGGGTCGTCGAGAGCACCTTTGGCAATTGCCAGCCGTCCCGGGCTTGGTGTGAAAAATGAAACATAAATTAAATCTGTAACACCAACGGCCCCGACCGAAGTCAACCCACAATTCTGGCTGGGCTTAGGATTCGCTACCACGGGCTTGGGACGATCCTTATTCTCCCTTTTTATTTTATTTTATTTTATGATTTCGAGAAAATGAAAATTTATGAAGCAGATGGCACAGCCCGTTGTTGAGGCTGTTGCTGATGCAGATTCAGAGTCAAAGCCAAAACCTAAGCCGTAGCCAAAGCCACTCGCTAAAAATATGAACTTGAAATTGTGTGGTCGCAAAGTTTTTTGTGGCAAATGAAAATAATGACTCATTATTCAGCCAAGTGGTGGCCATAAATAACGTTTTACACTCCAGCCATATATGCACTGATACCAAAAAAAAACGCAGCTCCTGCTCCACATCAGCATCAATATTTCACTCCCAAGAACATCTGTCACGACTGACTGCAGTCAGTCGCCCTACCCGGGGGGCCCGGAGGGCCACAGAAAGAGCTCAATCTGCATGCCGAGTACGTAATTAATTCCAGATACAACTAGTAATTAGTTCGAGGAAATCTACTATAAGCTACAACATCCACTGCATTCGCCACACAAATGATTTACGAGTCATCCATATAGATAAGGCATTAGGGCGACTGCGTCTCAGTTTTGGGAGAACACTTCCGATTAGGCAGCTGGCATCTGGCATCTGGCAGAACTTCGTCTGGGTTGAGGCATCTTCTCTGCCACAGACTTTGACGACTTATCACTACTGACGCTATCCCATTATATGATTTTATTGTCGGGCAAACATTTGCGTCTAGCGCGATTTCATTTAACATTTAATACAGCTAAAGGCTGAGTAAACAAATTAGCACGTTCTGCGGAAAAAAAAATACCCGCTGAACCAGTCGGCCGCCTTTTATTTGCTGAAATATTTTCCACTTTAATCTTTACTCCTCCCGTATAAGATTCAGATAAATAAGGGCTCTGCACCAAGGGCTGCTCACATTTCTTGTGTGAACACAGACATCGTCGGTCATTCGATTTCTGGTCAACCACTTCCGACAGAACCAAAACAAAAGGTTTTAAAAGGAATCTACAAAATAACAAAATACGCGTCCACATTCACGTGAGTAAAACACAAAGGAAAAACCCGCTGAAAACCATTGCTGATCGCTTAAACAGCTGTCAGTGCCTTTTGACGCTGACCTACATACGTACATATACATATGTAAGAACGATTCTATAGGCAAAACAATTTTCGAGTTTTTAAACGTACGAGTATTTCAAGAATGGTGTTTTGTGTTTGTTGTTGTTGTTGCTGTTGCCCCATCCATATGTCAGGCAATTTATTTTGCATCTCTCAGTTGTCTTTAAACTGTTGTCGTGCCAAGTACATACATAGCTCCATGTTTGAGCCAGTTGATTATGATTTCCATTCAAGGGTGCCGTTTACCGAGTAAGCTCAACACAAGTTCCCAAGTTCACCAGAGGGGGGGTTGGAAAAACCTTAATTTCCCCTACCCATATTAGTGCAAGTGTTGGTTCTTCTATGTAGTCCGGAAGCCATGTTGTTGGCCTTCCCAGCACTCGGAAGTTGCCAGACAATGTTCTTAATGAGTTCTTCACAACCAGAGTAACAGCAGCAGCAGCAGCAACAGCAGCAGCAGCAACTCTATGCAAATTGATTCAGTTTCAAACAACTTCATTTGAGTTCGTTACGTATGCGGGCAGTTGGCCGACTTAAGGACCCTGCCCAAGTGTAAGCAGGCTAAGTAAGCTGCCTTAGTTATGACAAAGGACAGCATAACCTTTCGAGAACCACCTTCCACACACACACTCACACACAAGTTGCTCAACATACACACACACAGACACCCAGCAACAGCTAGTAGTACATCTGGCTAATAAATGGTGCGGCGGCCACAGGAACTGGCACAGGGAGAAACCTCTTGAGGTCTTACCTCACACACACACACCAACCCCACAGTTGCTCGAACACAACACCCCGAGAACAGATGTTGCTGTGGCTGTTGCTGTCAATCAAGGCAAGCAACATTTTTGCGACACTGTTGCTGGACAAGCTGCTGCCACCAGAGTTGACTTTGTCTTTTTATGCACGGTGTATGTGGCCTAAAAGGGTATATGGTCTTTATGTGTGGAAATGTAACAGTAACAAGCTAATGTCGTTGCTATTTTTATCCCTTATTAGTGTTGATGCGAGTACATACCCAACCATAGAACTATACCTAACTGAGGAAATAGCTAAGACATTTATTCATGCATGTCTGTCTGTCCGTTTCTCTTTATATATATGTACATAATTATTTTTAATTATAATAACTTCTATACGGAGCAAAGAATGCACATTAAGTTAGTTTTGGCACACGAATTGGATTGAAATCTGGAGAAATTCTACTTCAAACAATTTTAAATATTTTTAAAGATAATTATCCCTTAAATATTTATCTACCAATCCGCCGATTTGTAGGCTTGTCCAAGAAAAATGGGCAACTTACAGTCGGAAAATTTTTTGTTTTTTGATTCTGACTCTTCCCTCGTCCTCTCTGTGTAATTTCTTTGCCTCCGCCTCTGCATCTGCCTTTCTCTCTTGGTCATCTAATTGCTGTTACACTTTGGCCAAGTTATTAAGTGATTGTTATTGTTGCTACTGTTGCTGTTGCTGCTGCCTGTTGTCGTTGCTGGCTGATGCAACAGCATAATCTAACGATTATGCCAGGCTTTTGGCCCTTTCAACTTTGCCAGCCAAATGTAAATTAACTCACGTTCGAGTTGCAGTCCCAAAAAAAAAAAAGGTTCAACTGTTGGCTCTGGCTTTGTGTTGCCTACTTTTTCGGGGGGCTCCGGCAAATTAATTTCGATTTTTGGGAACAGTCTGGTAATGGTTACGGGGAAACAAAGAGAGAGATAGGCAGGGAGAGAGTGAGAGAGAGAGCGTCGGCCCGCAAAGCAATTTGCCAAATTGCCAATTGCAGCATATGCCGCAAACTGTTGCAACTGAGCCAACTAATTGCGTGTAATTATGAATGCAAGCACTCCCCATACCACATACCACATACCCCATACATTGCCCCCCAAATGGGCCACAAAAGATACATTTTATGCGCCTGTCTCTGGTGTGTCAGACACGGCGTATGAGTAATGGGTGTCTAGGTAACAATGCATTATCGATTTAAAGTGTCACACGACACGGCAAGTGGCATTCACACTGAGGAGCAGACAATAACTAATTGCACTCCACACGGCCATCCCCCCTCTTCGAATATTTTCCTGTCAATTAAGCTGATAAAATGTTGCACCGAATAGTTGAAGAGGGAAACGGGTAAACGGGTAAAGAGACCTTTATTTATCTGCAAATATCGTTAACATGACATTAATTGCATATTGATAGTGTTTGTTCAATTGTTGCCCTTTGTTGGTCCTTATTTGAAGTGGCTCGGTTACATTGCTGCGGCAATTCGGGCACTGCATTCATCAATCAATCAATCAATCAATCAAACAGTATATCCATAGATCAATCAAAAGGGAGCTCTACCTAATTGTGCCTCAGGCGTGTCAACACTGGGGGAGGCGCCCCCGAGTTGGCTGCAATTTGCGTCTCATGAATATTTATGGAGGATATAATTAAATATGCTAATTACAACTGATTGTACGCACAATCATTTGAAATTATAATTCTGCGCGAAGCCAGTTTACTTCTTAGCCCCTCTTAGAGCAGCCACCACGGGCAACGGGACAACGAGGACAACGAGGACAGCCAGGACAATCCAGAAGGATAACACGCACTCTGAAACTGACGATTTAGCATAAATTCAAATGAAATAAACACAAAAGGGGGGACAAATGAGAATTAAATTGCTGCTGCACGGCACGCTTTGCACCGACGCTTTTCCACTGTCGGTAAATTTTCCTTACGTGTAAATTCAGACTGCCACTTCTTGCCACCAATAACTGTCTGCCTCCCGGTATTTTTTGTTGTGAAAATGTCGCTGCAAACAAACTAGAAACGCGTTTAATTTTTCGTGCATGAAAATTCCTCTATTTTCCCCAAGAAACTTCGGTAGAAAACATTGCGTATAACAACATGCTTTAGGGGAGGTGGAAGAGCAACTGTTGCCAGTTGGAAAATTACTTTGCAGCGTGAAAAAATGGGGGGAGAGGGAGGAATTAAATAAATTACATTGTTGCCAGCATAAAGTTGACGCTGCCAGCAAAACAATTTGTGCAAGCAAAATCCCTCCACCCACTCCCTAAACCTGCTGGCAACATTGTGGTTTGGTATTGGGGGGGCATGAACTGACTTGCATGGCACTCTGTCCTAGTCACGGTGAGGAGCAGCTTGATGAGCCAGAACTAATTCTGTTGCATCCAACCAAAGTGAATTAAACTTTTAATAACTGACATTGGCAGGGGCATCCATTCGGTCACCTTCAAAGATCGACTCGCCGCCGACAAGGTTTATCCAAGTTAATTGAAAGTCCAAGAGGCCAAACAGGATGGAGTGGACAGAGAGTGGCGATGGCTTTACATATAGTTTTCACAGTTAATTGAACAAACTTCAGCTAGCAGCTTCTCAAATATGCCAGAGATTGCCATGGACTTGACAGACTTCTCAATTAAAGCCAACTCGTACATCAATAATTCAACAAAATGCTGTATGTGCTCTCATTACATAAATACGTAATTAACCAGAGACTGGACAACCGACCACACTACTATGTCCCCGGTCAGACATAAAGGGCTTTCCAATGATGGCAAGTCACTTAAACAAATCACCAGCACGTGGCCAATAAAGTGGGTGTGTGTGTGTGTGTGTGTGTGGATAGTAGTAGTGGTGCAGCCATAAATATCCATTTGAGGCAATTCCATGGTGACAAAAATATATCCAAGTCTAATTTATTGTCAACAGCCTTTGTGCCAACAAAGGGCCGCAAACAAGCTTTTTAATTTCCACAATCTCAGTGGAGAGAGAGAGAGACAACGGAGGAGTGCGGAGGAGTTGGAGTTGGGGCCTGGACATGGACATGGTCGAGGCATTTCATTAGTTCAATTAGCCAGACAGGTGTGCTGGCTGGGTGTCAAGTGGCTGCTTTTTAAACGATGATTAGTGGCTTTTCGTTCCCGCTCTGTGTCGCACGAAATACAAGACAAATTGTAGTTTGCTTAGCCCCCCACCCCCCCGACAGGTCACAGTGGAATGCAAATTTATTTCCACAGAAAGGATTCACAGCTACAGAAATTACAGGAGTTAAATAAGTCAAAACCTAATTTACTTTCGCTTTAAAGTGCACAGAGAAATATCATGTGATATCGGAGAGCTGGTTTGCATAGCCACAGGTGGGCTAGAAAAGGTAGACAAGGCAATGTGCCCCACACCGATGCCACTGTGAAGACGCAAACAGGATTAAAGGGCTGGGAACTGGGAGCTGGCCAACGCTCGATTGTCGCACCCAGGGACTAACTAACCCAATTATTTGTAAAATGCGAACGGAACTGGGCACAAAAAAAAAAAACACCAACAAAAATCCAAATGAAAAGAAACCGCAGTCCATTGTTTTTGCAACCCCCCAGCAGGTGCAACACGAGTCACAGAGGAAGTGGCAAGAATACAAAGAGCCAGCAATAGAGAGAGAGAGTGGGGCAGAGTGGGGCAGAGAGGGACAGAGAAGTTTGCACAGCACGCGTAATGAAAACTTTGTTAGACCACAGAAAGAGCAGAGCAGAGAGAGAGTGAGAGAGAGAGGGAACCTTCTCCCAGCGAAGCGACAGTGCAGACCGAGTGGTCTCCTCCATGGTGTCGAGGATGGCGACAACGTGAAATTAGTTGTGCATGCTTGCAACGCGAAACCCGAGCATTAGCCGGGGGCGCCCCAGATACACCCTGCGGCCGCGAGGTGGGCGGTCAGTTACCATTTACCAGCGCCCGGGGTTGACCACTAAATTGGCAGGATGAAGTCGCCGCTGCAACGGCTCTCTAGCTCCTGCTGCTGCTCCTCCTTCTGCTGCTGCTTCTGCTTCTGTCCGGGGCTGAAGCTGATCAAATTAACAGCATGTGGCAAGTGGCTGCTGGCTGCTGGCCCGCTTTAATGCCACTACACCCAACACTCT